CTTACAAATGTAGGGCTGGTAAGTCGAGTTGTTCTGAATAAACTACGTGAATACGCCTTTCACAATTTTTCACAATCACTAACTTTGTCTTATCTTGTAATATGGCAAGCTACGTAAAAAAGCGATCAAGTTTGGATTGCTCTTTTCCATCTGTTTGCATTGGAACCTTCTTCATTCTGACTTTCAGAGGGTGGCACCACTGAACTACATTGCGGTGCCCACTGAGTCATTTTGTGCCAACAAGAGTATGGTTGTCGTTATTCATGTAAAGTCAGATGACGTACTCACTCGAAATACATTGCGTAGAACATACGGAGATAAACGACTGGTGGAAAAAGTACGGTCTGTTATGGGGTATCAAATTTGTTTACGCTCTAATAGTTAGTATCAGTTTAAGTTCAGTTACAGTCTTCTCTTTTCCGTCGGCAGGGCGGGAGGCCCAGAGGAACAAGAGCTCTTGAGAGAGGAAGCTCGACTTAATGGAGACATTCTTCAGACAGACGTTGTCGATGCTTACAGAAAGTTAACATACAAGGTATGTTCTCCGTCTGTCTTTTGCTAAGTATTATCCGGCTGCACGTGCAATAGCAGAGAATTCCTGACTTAGCCAGATACATATCTATGCTTCGACTGATCCTATTACAAGCAATAAGGTATACCTATGCACGCACTTTTAGCCTGTGTGAGTATGGAATTGAAAAATTTTAGAGTGGAGAGCTAACGAGCTATACCGTAAATTATAGAAATGTGAGATCTTTCTGGTCTGTAGGCTCAGCCATTCACGACCATGTATGTTCCCACAAAATTATGGTTTCTCTTCCTCGAAAGCAAAACTTGCACGAATACCTATAAATGAAGAAGTGCTATGCGGCAGGCATATACACCAACTACGTTGATTTGTTAAAGTGGATCTTCCCCGAAGATAGGTTGTCTTTGACCGCTGGATAAAGGAGGGGTAAGTGAAATATGGTTTTTAGAATTTTATACATGATAGCGAACGGAAGAAGAGTCTTTCTGACAGAAAGCAGTAGATCACCGGTAGGGGCTGATTATGGACGGTCCTTGCTTCCTGTTTCCACAATTTTTGCAACTAAATTGTCGTGGCTGAAGTAGCAAAAAGCAAAGGCTCAGCAAATAAGCCTTCCCCTTTACCTTTGGGAAGCAGTAGTATCAGGAGCGATTAGATAGCTCAACCATGTTCCGACAAAAAGTATGAGCTCAATGATTTCTGCCAGTTTTTAGAGTGATAGGAGGCCAGAAGAATTGCTGAATTACTGAATTACTCCCCATGGCAGACCATAGTTGCGAAATTTAGCAATGTCATACGATCGATAGCATCACAAACGGAACCTTGTCAACCAAGGGTGCGAGGGTTTTGAAGGGTGCACATTGGCTAGTGGTCATTAATCAGGGCCAATAGGTAGGGACAGATAGTTTCTCAGAATCGGGAGTTAGGCCAAGTGTTTGGAGCAGATAAGTTGTCAGCGACCAGCTCCAAAGTGTCACCATGTGATGCACGCAGTAGTGTGTCCTCTTATGCGTTGAGCGGCCGCTCTGGGAACGATCTGGTCAGAACTTTAGGCACTCAATGATTATTCCACCTAGCAGCTTTGTAGGCACAAAGGAGAAGAATGGCTCAGAGTATAGCTTGATAGCTTATGACGTGGCTTAGAGATTTGCGCAAGTATCGGCAACTATGTTCGTGCCCTGTGGTCCGTACAGGGTCAATCGCATGTCGTTGAGTCCGCAAGGTGATAAAGGTGTCTGACCCGCTGGTAGGAAGGGATGGTCGTATGTGCTGGTGCCAATAATTAAAAGAGTAGCGGCAACATCAATGGAACGTTGCCATTGCTCTTAGGCGTCGTGAAGTGTGATGTCTCCGTCGAGTTGGAAATTAATGACAAATTAACTTATTATAAATGTAACTGCTAGAAGGCTGCAAGCTAATTTTGTGTGCATTCTGAATGTAAATTCTGCGATTCTGAATGCAAGGCGAGTAAGTGCGCATCAAATAGAGCGAGCATATATGTGCTTCAGTTCCTCTTTGTAACTAGGAGTGGTTTGTTGAATGCTTTCCGCGGTTTCTGGATCTAAGGGCTGTGTAACCGAGAGACCGCTGACACCAACCTCCGAAGCAAAATCTGGGACGGCAAATTCCTGCTGTACTAGACCTACTGCAAAAGTGTTGTTATATTAAGGAGGAAGAAACTACTAATTTTTGAAGGCATTCAAATAACCGCTAACTCTATGTCTCGACGGTTCGCGATCAGGTATCGAAGTTGAAAAGTATGGCGTCAGGAGGTTAGAGTGGTCCGCGACGAACAACCTTGTACCGGTTTTGCGGCAAAAAATTCTATGGGAGGGGCGCTATAGCGCAATATAGGTTCAGTGGTTCCTC